AAGAGTTCAGAGGTGGGAAAGACAGAATTAACATTTATTGCTGACCTGCCATTTACTAGTTTTTTCCCACGCGTCACCTATATCTCCAGAGGTAGGTACCATCTTCCTGATTATACTCATTTTACTGATGACTTCAATGAATTCTTCTGAGTCATACAGCAATTAAATAAATAGGAGAGCTAGAATTTGGATATGGTCTTTCTGATTCCAAAATAGATGCCACATCCAAATACCATGTGACCTCCAACAGAGTGGGATTAATAACTCCAGCCTGGAGGAATGGAGAAGGCCTCCTGGGGGAGATATGATTTGACCTTCATCTCAATGGGGGCAGGGAAGAAGAACAGGTATTTCAGAGAGAGAACAGAATAAAATTACAGAGATAATATAAGGCAAGTAATTCAACAGACCTAAGTAAAGTTAGTGTTAAGCCCAAAAAAGTAGGTTGAGACCTATTCCTGGAAGGCCTTGAATACTGGGTTGAACTTGGACTTTTGAGCTATTTAAAGTCTTTGAGCAGGAGTAGTAATATGCACAGAGATGCACTTTGGGAAGATGAATTGTGTCAGTGCTATGGTCTAGAGCTGTGTTGTCCAGTATGGTAGCTATTGGCTACATGTGGCTATTTAAAGTTAACTTAATTAAAATAAAGCAAAATAAAAAATTCCATTCCTCACTTGCACTAGCTACATTTCAAGTGCTCAATAGCCACATGTGCCTAGTGGTTACCTTACCGGACAGCACAGATATAAAACATTTTCATCATCACAGAAGGTTCCATTGCACAGTGCTAGAACTAGGAGAGACTGAGGCAAAAAGACCAGTTGAAGACCATTAATGTTACAGTAGTCTAGGGGAGAAGTTATCAAGTCATAAACTCCTGGCTCCAGAAGGAGGATGCTAGGAGACGCAGGTGGAAATCTGTGCTTAAAGGACTTATCATATGTCTGGGTAAAGGCAGCAAGGGAAAACACATGACTTCCTTATTATTTTTTTTAGTAGTCTTCTCTAGAGTTTCTCCAATTCCACTATGTCTTTCTTGATTTCATAGAAAGCCCAGCGGCTCATTTTCATGTACTAGAAGGACCCTTCCCAACATGATGCAATGACCAGAAGCTCCTGCTGTCAAGTAGGCTCCACCTAGCAAGACCTACTGAATCAGAAACTCCAGGGGGTGGGCCCCACGATCTGTTTTAAGAAGCTCTCCAACTGGGCATGGTGGCTCATGCCCGTAATCCCAGCACTTTGGGAGGCTGAGACGGGAGGATCGCTTGAGGCCAGAAATTCAAGACCAGCCTGGAAAATGATTTGAGACCTTGTCCCTCCAAAAAAAAAAAAAAAAAATTTTTTTTTTAACTGGGCATTGTGGTACGCCTGTAGTCCCAGGTATTTGAGAGGCTAAGGCAGGAGGATCGCTTGAGCCCACCGAGTTTGAGGTTGCTGTGAGCTATGATGATGCCACTGCACTTTAGCCTGGGCGAAAGAACAAGACCCTGTCTCAAAAAAACAAACAAACAAAAAGCTCTCCAGGTGATTCTGATACAAAATAAAGTATGAGGAGCTCTTTCACCCCCCTCAAACTACCCTTATCCGTCCATCCACCCAGATCTGTTTACATAATCTTTGTTTAGAATATTTTAAAAGCTAAGAGTAAAAAGTTTAAATATAATCCAATTTTCTGACTTGAAATCCCGAAAACTAGTGTAGTTGCAAGAATATCTTTCTCTGATATTATCTTTCATATGTTTTCTATAATCATGGAAAGGCAAAATTCACTTCCAAAATTTCAAAATAAGCATTTGTAATTCCATCAGAAACAACCCTTAGCCTGTTACTACATAGGATTTTTATGGAGGATGTATTGGGCCTATAGAAAAGGCATAAGCAAAGAGCAATCCCTTTAGTATCTTTCAGTCACTGCCTAGTGGCTGGGGACGATTAATAAGGAGAGAGTCCTCTAGCCTGTGACCATAGGATACATAAACACAGGAAAACTACCTTGGTGCAACGCAGTGACAGTAATATCAACAAGGTGTGTTGGAGAGATGTTCATTACTGGGATGGGGTGTTGGAGAAGGCTTCCCAAGGGGACACTGACTCATAAATAGCATTCGACCGGAAAAGAAAGGGGCAAGGGGATGAGGGGTGCGAGTTCAGTCAGAGGGAAGAGAACGAACAAAGAGCAGTGAGGTCGGAAAGGACCGGGAGCAGCTGGGCCGTTAGGCCTCAGGAGGAGATGGATGGGATAGGTAGCGGGGCATGGGGTCCAGACCAGTTCTGGGGCTTTTTACAACGTAGACAAGCGAATTTGAAAGAATTCAGCTTGCAAAACGCACACATTGTCTCTTGTCATTGCCATTCCACGTGGCCTTTCAAAGTAGAGGTAATACCTGAGATAAGCTCCCAGGGACCACTGTCATTCATTCATTCCACAATATTGACAGACTGAGCAACGTGCCTGGCCCTGCCCTAGCGCCCGCGCCGGAGCCGGAGACCCGCCGGGGACCCGCAGCTCGCACACCCCGCAGCCCCCGGCTCCCAGACGTCTCCCGGCAGTGGCTCACCCCGTTCCCGACCGGGTCGGGACTGCGTGCGCTGGGGTCTCGCAGGGCTCGGGTCCGGCTGGCAGCGCTGCGGTCGAGGACGCCGGCGGTTCCTGAGCCGTTGCAGCCGAACCGCGGGCGTTCCGGGCGGGCGGAGGGCAAGAGGTGGGGGAGGGCGGTGAGGAAGAGGAGCCTGAGGAGCAGGGGTGGAGATGGGGGAGAGGGGTACTGGGGTGTCCTCCCCATTCCGGGGACACGGGAGCCCCTTGGTACCTGTGGTACACCTGGGTACCTGTGCCACCAGGCCCCTACTCTCTCCGAGGTTTTACCATTGGTTGAGGGCCTATTTGGGCCCAGGCCTCGCGCCTGCACTGCTCCTAAGGCAATTCTCTTAAGGTTCCCGACACCCAGGCAGGTCAGAAGAGGCATGAGGAAATGCAAGCTAGGAGGGTCATCGAGGTTTCCAGCCCTAGGCTTTCTGCCCCAGAAGCCTGGCTCTCCCCGCTGGATGACATCCTCCCGCCCAGGTCTCCTGCTCTGCAGGCACACACACCCTCTGCAGCCACGCCCTTTATGCTCCTCAGGGAAGCTCAGTCCCTATCACTGTCTCTCATTACATTTCCTATTCCTGCTTGGCCCAGTTGCAGTTTTACACTTGTTTGATTACTGTACCAATGTCTAACTTACTATTCACTTCATGTATTCCTTTTTGTAAATTGTCTCACCCCTGTGAGGGCAGGGGTGTTTATCTCTTGCATTAACTGTTGTATCATCTGTGCCTGGAACAGTGTGGAAGTATTCAATAAATTTGAGTTGAACGATTGCCCTCCTGTTGCTGATAAACTCCACACAGGCAGCAATTTATGGTTGTTAATCACCTTTCTATCAGAAGTGCCTGGCACCTAGTAAGGCATTTAATATACATTGGTTGAGTGAGTGAATGAATGTACTGCATACTTCATCTTTACCCTTGCATTCACCCTCACCTCATCATCCAATTTGTTGGATAAATATGTGCATTTCTTAGGATTCCTGCTTTCAAGCTTCTTCCTCACTTCTTGTATCCATCTACTCGTTTCCTTGACTCCCTACTCCCACTCCTCATTTCTCCACAGTTATGTTTTTGCTCTCATGTGCCCCTTCATCCTCCATTACTTCTTAGAAAGTTCCCTAACCCACAAGATGGCTTGGAACATTCTCAAGCAGCATGTCTTTGTAGGCAAGAGAATCCAGGCTCAGCTGGGCAAGGTGGCTCCCGCCTGTAATCCTAGCACTCTGGGAGGCTGAGGCGGGAGGATCGATAGAGCCCAGGAGTTTGAGGTTGCAGTGATCTATGATGATGGCACTGCACTCCAGCCTGGGTGACAGAGACTCTATCTCAAAAAAAAAGAGAGAGAATCCAGGCTAAGCCACATTGGATCCAAAATTACCCACGACGCTGTTTTTTGGTTTTATGTGGTTTTCCTTGAGGAGAACCGAGGATCCTGTGGTACCTCTTAAATTGAGATCATTCATGGTCATTGTTCATAATTTGTTCAACAAATATTTATGGAATACATTTCATGTTCTAGACACCATGCTAAATGCTGGGACAAGATAGGCAAAGCCTGAGCCCTCCAAGGAATGTATAGCACAAAAGAAAATAATCATGGGAAGTGATGAGAAGTGTCCTGGCATTGGACCTATCTATTCTAATAAGACAGAATCCAATTGTTCTGTTTATTGTGACAAGCTGTAGCATAGGCATAGATTGATAATAGTGGGTGCAGGTATGGGGTTATGATACCCTACCCATTCACATTTATTATCTTGTTCAGTTTTTACAAATTATCTCATTAGGTGGGAATGCAGGGCAGGAATTCTCTTGCAGAAGCTGGAACTAATGTCTAAGAAAGGTCAGTTGATTTGCCTAAATGTAACATTGCAAGACCACTCCCTGCCCTGTTCTCCTTACTCAGAGAGGCATGAGTTAAATGGTTAAGATCCTCTTCACTGGATGGCTCTTCAGGGCAGGAATCAGTTTCAAACCTTCCGTGTAATGGTTTTTAAAATGCTTCTCAAAGGGAGATACCAGAGACTTTCCTGGATCAGAACCATCTGGCATGTATTCTAAAAATACATTCTTGATGTCCACCTGCCCAATTAGACTCCCTGTGGGTCTTGGGAATCTGCATCTTAAAACAAAGTCCCAGGGTGATTCTTCACATAAAAGTTTAAGAACCGCTAGGAGAGTTTGGGTGGAAAAACTCGGCTTTGATGCAGGGTTAATATTTTCCTTTGGGACAAATTTCGTCAGAATTCCGAAGAGTAAGCAACAGCTTTCTGGCCGGAACCTGTTTCTTTTTTATGCAAGCGTTATTTGGAAATTGGGGGTTCCGCTGAGCAGGTGCTCCGCTGCTGGTGAATACTCGCAGTTCAAAGATCTTTTGACTCTTTTCTCAACACCCTATTTCTCACTGTCGCTTTCTCACGGAGCAGGCATTAGCCCCGCCGACCACGGTAGGGCGCACGCGATGCATGTGGCCTTCTTATCCCTTCCTCCCCCTGTCTGCCTTCGCGCCCTTAAGGAGAACAGTTCCTGGGAGTTTCTGCCTCTGGTTTCCAGTTGTCGCTCTCTTCTCGCGAGAACTACTCCTCCCGTTCTCTCCCACGCAAACCCCCTCCCGTGGGCAGGTTCCATATTGGGTAAAATCTCGCCTCGCGGAGAGTCTCGGGAGCTGTTATCGCGAGAGTACGGCGGGAGGCTCCCGGTCGGGGCTCTGCAACCGCGACCACTGGATCCTCAGCGGGCGCAGCAGCCGGAGCAAAAGTCCAGCGACGCGGCCCGGAGTCAGCCTGGGTGGGAAGAGGGTGCAGGGAGGTTGCAGCGGGCGCAGCCTTGAGCCCCGGAGCGCGCCCCTGCCCTTAGCCGGGCTCGCCCTCGTCGCTGAGGCTAGTCCAGCTGCTGCAGCTGACAGGGGCCGCGCGCGCGGGAGTGTGCGGGGTCGCGGCAGCCGCACCTGCGAGGGCGACCAGCGCTAGGTCCCCGCCCGGCCGGGCGGGCAACGAGGGCCGGGGAACGGGTGCGGGTGCAGGCGGGGGCCCCGCAGGGCCACCTCCTTGCCCCGCAGCTGCCGCTGGAAAATGTCTCAGGAGAGGCCCACGTTCTACCGGCAGGAGCTGAACAAGACAATCTGGGAGGTGCCCGAGCGTTACCAGAACCTGTCCCCGGTGGGCTCCGGCGCCTATGGCTCGGTGTGGTGAGTGTCGTCGGGCCTGGGGCCGGGGTGGGCAGGGGTGGTACCTCACGCCCGAGGCCCGGGCCTGCCCCCGCTCAGCGATGCGCCAGGCGGCAGGATTTTCCTCGGGGGAGGGCATTGCTGCCCCTTGGAGCCCTGCCTGTCCTGCATCCCCTGCACCCCTTACGCCCCTCACCCTGCACACGCAGGTGTGTGGCCCACCGTGTGCAGGACTCAGGTCCGCTGTGGGAGGTAGACGGAGGTGTGGAGTTCGGCTCTGACTCCTACCCCGCACGTTCCCTTCTGGGCGGGTTGCTGCTCCGGGGGCAGGCACCGGGGGAGGGGCGGCTTCCCTGGGAGTCTCCCTCCCGGCGTGGAGCAGAGGGTCCCTCTCGCCCGGCGCGCCCACCGTGGGGCTCCGGAGCCTGCCCTCTGAGCAGACAATCCCGGCGAGCTGCCGGAAGAAGCAGAAGGGCGAAGCCGGACCGGGAGACTGCGGGTCATCGGAACAAAACTGACCAGGAAGGAAGCTCTCTCTCCGGGCTTTTTTGCAGACCTCTGTCGAAATCGCGTTTTGAGAAGCGTTCTTTTGGCATTCGCACTTGAATTAGCAGCGACCCATAGAGCTTAAAATACCGACTTTATCTCGGTCAGCATTGTGCCAGCTTGAGTGGTGTGTTTCCGATTCGGTTGAAAGCGTATTTCCTTTCCGTGCAGGGAGGGCGGTGGTAGTGCCTGCAAGAACACTGTAGCTTGAGAAACTGGCGGCCTCACTGATTAGTCACATACCACTGCTCATTTAAGTATTGTTGGACGAAACAGTTTTCTCATTTGAAGCAACAGAGATTCAGATCCGTTGGGCGCCTTCAAGATCAAAAAGTTATTAACAGTGCTGGGAAGTATAATATTTTTTAATTGAGATAATTCCTGCGAATACTGTGTTTTTAAAGTCCCTTAAAGAGTTTTCAGGGAATTATCTACATTTGTGGCCCGAGGTACACGATGGTTTTCATAAGGATATGGAACATTTAGAAAAGGAAGGGAAGGGATACTTTTCAGCTTTAATTTACGCCGTGTGTTTTAAATGAAATCGGTGCCATAAAATTTCCAGACCTGGAATATTTGACTATTCTGTAACTTGCAAGGTTTACATACTGCATTTTAGCTTTTATATAATTTGAGAGCTCCTGATCTGAAACTAAATATGAGATTTAACTGTTAGGTTTTTCTATGTTTTAGTCATTTATGTTGTATGCATTGTGTGAAAAGGGGCCTGTGAAAAGATTTTTTTGTTTTGGGACAAATTCCAGGCTTTTGGATGTGTTAATCTTTAAATATGGTTCCTGTGTTCCTTAAAGTCACATCATGAATTTCCTGTTTGGTAGAATCTTCTGGGTAACTGAGATTGTGCAATTGTGTCCAGCAATGGATCATATTGCACTTTCTAGTTCAGGCTGTTCAAGTTACGTTGCAGATGGCACCATACTTGACATCTTTCTCTCATTTTACAGTATGGCTGTTTACAAAAGGAATTTGTAGCATTTTACATTCATTGTATATATTGTTGATTTGCTACTTTTCAAAGATGCATTTGGATCATTGCTCTTTTAATTTTTAACAGCTCATTAATATCCTTCCATTTTTCATACTTGAATTGACACATTAATTTCTGTAGTATCAGGGTTTTTTTCCAATGCTGTTTAAACTTGAATGGAGTGATACAGCAGAATAACTCCACTGTAAGGAGTCTGAGTGAACTTGAATAGAACTGCTTGCAAGGTTTCCCTACTCTTAGTGTGACTGGCCCTGCACTGGAACAGGAGATCCAGATTTGTAGTAAAATACCATTAAAATTAATTCCACATTCTTTAGTGCTATACTTTTCTGTGGTTTGGATGCTAGTAGTAGTATCTGACACTTGACAGTACTTTTGTTAAACAGATTTTTAAAAGTGGGTAATACATTGACATTGTATAAAATACAAATGTATAAAAGGATATTCAGTAAAAGTCTCCCTTCCTTTCTGTTCTCCAGCCACACTGCTCTCTTTTCTCAGACACAACCACTCTTAAGTATCTTGTATGCCTTTCCAGGGAGGCAGAGTTTTTATTTGCTTGTTTGTTCAGTAGCATTTCTACTAAAGGGATTTAAGATGTAACTTATAACATATTGCTGAAGGAAAATACAACTGCAATTATGTGGTAGTTGACTATAAACAAATGTAACCTATATTGGGATGAAAATACCACAATTTAGATTTACAAGTAAGGGTTATTCAGAGTATTTATTCAAAGTTCTTTCGATTACCACCTTTTCAGGTATGGCAGAAAACATTTTTTGCAACTTGTGTTAGAATCCACTTCGAAGAATGTATTACTTTTCTCCATCTTCATTCTTTGTGAGCACATTTAATTTTAGGGAATAACAAAGTCAATTTGAATCTAAATAATTTAGGAAATTTAGACTCAAGTCTAATGAAAAAGATTAGGCAGTAAGATTGGTGATACTGTTTTAGGTCAGATAGGAGTTGTAACTGTAAACTAATGACAATATTTTGTGTGACTTGTTGAATTTGACCAGAGGTCTATTCCAAAAAACCTGAATTTTAGTTTAAGAAATGCAACATTATTGAAATGTTTTTCAGATTTTTAATTGTATTGCTTTAAAGTGTGGTATACTTGGGTGTGTAACTTTTAAAAAAATTTTATTTTAAACCTATTTTATTATTTTAATTGTTACTAAGTATAGTAAAAAAAGCAAGTAGCAGCCTGTGTAATAACCAACTATGAATCAGAGATCAAGGAATCAGACCAGAAATTTGAGAGTTGATAGTATTTTACAAATAAGCCTTTCCTTTTTTAAAGAGTAAAGGGAAGTAAACTGTCTTGCAGTTTTAAGGAAGTTTATGCATTGTTTTGAGGGGAAATGAAGCAAAATTGTTTAAGAATACATTGTTGCAAAGCATTGATTTTGTGGTTTTGGGACAGAGGGGAGAATCTTTGTGGTGAGTTTAAGGAAATATAAACAGGAACTTAAGCGCCTTTCCTCTGGGTATGGTTTTTCCAGCCCTTTTTTTGCTGTTGATTAGAGGAGATGGGGCACTGGTAACCGTAAATAGGAGATGAGAGTTGAGAATTACTTAGATCATATTCCACCATTAATTTAACAGTATTTAATCCAACAGTATTTCAGTCCAACTCTGGGCCGGATAGTGGGCTAGGTTCTGGAACCTAGTGCTGAACAAGACAGACCAAGACAATCCATTCCCTCATAGGACTTATAGCCTAATGTGTTTAATAACTACATTTTGTGGGTTGCCTCCTGTGTTTTAGACGTTGTGCTGCACTTTATATTTATCCTCAACATACAAAGTATATAACAAAACCTTTAGTAAGAAGATGGCAAAATTTATGAAGAAATCAAATCCAACTTCCTAAATGCTTTGTGGAACAAGATTGTTCCAATAAATATAATACAAATAAATGAAGCTAAATTTTTTTAATATTAATGGCCATTCACCATTTTAAATCTTTTTTTTTTCTTTTTCTTTTTTGAGAATGAGCCAGGGCACAATAAATAAAAATAAGTCATTATTAAATTTACAAAGGTGACTTTCTTGACTCCTAAACAGTGAGAAGCGTGTGCCCTTTACTTTTCTAGTGGTGATAGTAGGTCCATGCTGATCTTTCTTCCCATTTACTTTTCTTTGTAATCAAAAGCAAGATAGTTGGCTGTGTTATCAGTGCCAGTCAATAAGAAGTTTTAAACATAATTAATGACAAATATTTGTGACATTGATGTATAAAGACTGTTTTAAGAAAGAGCTCGGGCTGGGCACGGTGGCTCATGCCTGTACTCCCAGCACTTTGGAAGGCCAAGGCTAGAGAATTGCTAGAGGCTGGGAGTTCGAGATTAGCCTGGGCAACATAGCAAGATCCTGTCTCTAAAAAAAATACAGAAATTAGCCAGGCATGGTGGCATGTGTCTGTAGTCCCAGCTACTTGGGAGGCTGAGGTAGAAGGTTAGCTTGAACCTGGGATTTTGAGGTTACAGTGAGCTATGCCAGTGACACTGCACTCTAGCCAAGGTGACAGAGTAAGACTATGTCTCAAAAAAAAAACAAGAAAAAGGAAGAGTTCAGTCAAGTTGGCTATAAAGCCATAGTTTATTTATCAAATCCCGTTTTTTTCACTAACAGTTTTCCACTGTTTCCCATTTAAAGTAAGAGTATCCTGGACCTCCAGCTTTTCAATTCTGCCATTTTAATTTCTTGACACTGAGAAGAACTCTGCTTTTGATTTCCGTCTAGCTCAGCCTCCTAGATGATCTCTGTTGACTTTGCCTTTCACTGGCAACAGTACAAATGTCGCTGAGCCCCTGGGGCTTAGGATTCAAAGGTAGAAGAATTCATTGGGCTGGATCACTCTCACTTTAGTATTAACTGACATCTTTATGGGATTTTGCAGTTCATAAAGTGTTTTCAGTCAAAGCATTATCAGTCAGTCATCACTAGCTCCATGAAGGCCAGTATTTATTAACCCAGTTTTACAGACGAGGAGCTGCACTCACTCGTTAAAGGCATGGCGTACTTGTCAGTGCCACCGTGGTTTTGGTTCTGGGGTTTCAGCGCTAGTAGTCTCCCATTCCGTAGATGTGGGCTGCTGAGGCTGTGTGGCGGCACCTTCTCTCGTACAGTTTGCCTCCTTTTGCGAAGAGGGGTTACCGAGTCACCTGCAATGGAGCCGTGACTGTAGGAAAGCAACCCCACCAGTGTCGTTGCCCAGCTAATCTGAAGGGTAATGGTCCAGCCCATTAAAGCGATGTCTCTTCCTCAGAACTGATAAACCAAAAATGAACACATTGCCCAGATGAAAATTTTTTTTCCAAAATAATTATTAGGCTGTGCAAATAGTTCATTCCCGAATTTATGAGCCCTATTGGATTGAAATTCTTCAGTGTACATTTATGTAAACTTGAGACTGTATATGTATATTTGTATTATATAAGTATAGGGTATAAAT